AGGCCCAGCCTTATCAGTTACTATTCTAGAACTTTACACAATGACCCATTTAATACCAAGAACTATTATTTCTATTTTGAAGAGGCTGAAACACAGAGGTTGATTTATGTACCCAAATTCCCCAGCTAGGGAATAGCAGCATTGGCTGTCCGGGAGCCCAGGTGGTCCTCATCGGAGTCCATGTGCCCCAGAACCTTGCCCTGCCTCACCTGGGAGATGGGTCTGCAGCAGCTCAGTGCCGGGACATCATAAGCAGCAGGAATGCTGGGTGATATTATTGTTGGACACTTTCTCTGGAAGTCTCAGGCCATCATGACTTACGCTGTCAACTATTGGGGACCACTGGACACCTACCAGGTGCCAACCCTTCATTCAGCCCTCCCAACTCCCCAGAAAGGGTTCCTCTTTTGTAAATGGGGGGAAAAATCAGGAATCAGAGAGAGGAAATCTGGCAGAGGTAAAGATGGGACTCAAGCCCAAGAGCTGCAGCACCAGTCTTCCGTTCCACTCAGAGCCTGGTGACTTGTGCTGGTCCCTGATGCAGGAGGTGGGCCATCAGGTCCCCCAGAGCCTTTGCTGACACGAGGAGCACTGAGCCCTCCCCTAGGCCTTGTGGCTGGGGGCTGGGGTGGGGCCTGGGCACGTGCACTTCCCAGGGTCTCCTGGGTCCTGCCGCAGCTGGTCGGGAAGCACACTTTACACATCTCTGCTCTCAACAGGCTTCTTGGAATGTGTCTTAGTCTGTTTTCTGTGGCTATATCCAATAATCTGAGGTCAGGTCATTTATAAAGAAAAGAAATTTCTTTCTTTCAGTTCTGGAGCTGGGAATCCCAAGAGCATGGCTCCCACACCTGCCAGGCGTCTGGGGGGCCTGCTGCTGTGTGGTCGAGTGGAGGATGCAGGCCCTGGTGAGACCCAGCGAGTGTGCCACTCAGATCTGTCCTCCTCTGCTCTAAAGCCATCCAAGCCTGGTGGGGACCCTGCCTCTGTGACCTCATCTAACTCTAGTGAGCTCTCAGAGGCTCCCCTGTAGTGACTGTTAAATTCGTTGGCGAGCCTGTTTGGGAAGTAAGTTTCCAACATGTGGAGTGTGGGGGCCATATTCAAACCCCAGCAGAATGGCAGCGGCCGTGCTTCTCCTGTGTGGCCCGCCTGAGGCTCAGGGCTGAGGAGTGTTGACCTGGGAAGTGGACAAGAGACCCCGTGCCCTTTCCTCCCCGCAGGGCTCTCAGATCACCGTCCTCAGGAGCCTGTCTGACTAGCAGACCCCCCCACCCCCCCACCCACCTGCCCGCCATCTTCCAACCTTTCCCAGAACAATGTCGACGGGTGCTTTTCTGATGAAAAACAAACCAAGCAGCACAGGATCTTAGTACAGTCCGCACTTGAGAAAAGCCCCCAGACAAAAAGGGGGACTGGAAGGAGATGGACCCACCACCAGGCCTGCTGATAGTCGCCTTTGTTTTATTTCCTGTCGCCTCTTGTTCTGTGTGAATCCGCCCTCGGGTGGAGGTTCCGCCCCAGTGGACTCCAKCAACTGCAGATTGAAGCTGTTTTGAGAAAAAATTGTGTCTCTACTGCACATGGACTGTTTTCTTGTCGTCATTCCCTAATCGCTTCAGTCTCCCAGCTGTTCACACGTCCCAGGTACCGGGAGTCATCGGGGATGGTCTAGCCCCTGGGGAAGGGCACGGGGGCTTCCTAGACACGACAAGGCTTTCTGCAAGGGACCTGGGCATCGCAGACTTTGGCATTTAGGAGGGTCTTGGGCTGACCCCACATGCATATCAAGGCACAACAGTATTTTTAAGTATTGGAATAAAAAAATGCATTTAAGGCTTGTCTCCCAGAAGACAAGAAGCCACCTACTAACTGTGCCCTGTATTTGGGGGCTGTTTTTTTTTTCCCCCCGAGGTTTGCTGGGCACTTCCTGGGGGGAGACAGGCAGGCCTCTGAGCCAACCAGGAGAGCTTGGGCACAGAAAGGACCATCCTGTCCCTTGGTTGACAGGGACACAGCAGGAGACAGGTACGGGCACCTGAGGAATGGAGAGCTGGCTGGCCTCGGGTCCCCAGGGCACCAAGGGGGCTTGGCACATTCTTGAGAGGTGGCTTAACAGAGGAATGTCCCCCAGGTCCCTCGGCATGGAAGACGGAGGGGCTGGGGGAGGGGAGGGAGGGCAGGAGGGATGGTGTGCATAGGGGTGAGCCCAGGGGGCTGCCCCGTACCCTGTGGCCTGCGTGGCCATGTGGCGTGGGCCTGTCTACCTCTGGGCTGCCAGGATGGAGAGGGACCGGTTAAGCTTCACCATGGCAATCACAAGGAGGCCACCGGTCAGCAGGAAGGTGGGCCAGAAGAGGGAGAAGAGGAGGGTCTGCGGCCCGTAGAGACGCTGGTACAGGACGCTCGTCTCGTTCTCCTGGGTCGTCGAGAAGCAGTAGAAAACCTGGTGCTTGTGGAAATTGGCCCTGACCTTCTCCACGTCGGCGCGGGCCATCTGGTAGTTGTCCAGGCTGTCCGGGATGTAGGAGCACTGCGGGGAAGCAAGAGCACACAGCGGGCTGTGAATCTTTGTGCCTTAGGGCCCGAGGGCGAAGGCCTGCGACAGAGTAAAGACAAATGCTGGCTTTGGAGCCAACCCTGGATGGAGCTGGGGCTTCTGTCTGTACACCGCACAATCTGGAGGGCAAGTTCAGTGTTATGTGGGTGGCTGGTGGCCCTGGAGCTGCCTGGTATGTGTGCTGCACTCCTGTAGGCAGGCGCCCACTCGGAGCCCTGGCTCTTCTTGTATTGGCTGTTGAATCTGAGGCAGATCGTTCATCTTTTCGGAGCCATCAAACTTTAATCATCTAAGTGGGTTAAACTGCTGCATCGTTTTCAAAGAAAATTATTTAAGGACTTCACCTGTCACTGTCGAAGGAAACCAATGAGTGACAGAAGTCAAAGGACAGGTGGGCCCTGTGTTTGGATTCAGGGCACAAATCACAAGCTCGGATGCCCCAGGGCTCATGCAGCTCTCTGAACAAGCGAGGCAGGCGAGACCCAGAGGATGACAGGCACCACCTGGCACTTGCCTGGTGCCAGGGACAATTGTCGGGGAGGGCGGGGGCTGGCAGAAGGGAGAGAGCCAGCTACATCTGCACCGGCCACCGCTGCCCTCTCAGGACAGGGACACCCTCCGGAAGCCAGGCTGCAGCGTTTCAGGAGAAGGYGGAAAACCCAGGTTGGACGTGATCTTAAAAAGTCGGCAAGAATTCAACCAAGAACTCTGAGGCCAGCCCCGTGGGGGGCCAACCGAACAAGGCACTGGCCAGCAGACGCCACCTGGGAGCCGAGGAGGACCAGGGCGTGGGGAAGCGCTCGAGCAGGCAGAGCAGGGCACTCATGTCATCGGGACGCTGATCACGGTTATTAGGAGYCGTCCTGCCCGCCCAGCTGCACCCCAGCTGGCCAACTGCGGAGGACAGACAAGGAGGACCCTGGCTGTCTCTGCTCTGGCCGGCCACCTGCTCATAGGGACTCTGGAGGTGCTTTGCAAACATCAGCCTCGCCCACGTGAAGCAGGACAGCTGCAGGCTGCCCGTCAGCACYGCCTCCTACTCCCCTCCGTGCAGAGGGGCCCAGGGTGGATGCTTCTTTTCCTGCACTGAGTCTGAGGCCCGCTGTCCTACTGAAGCCATGTCCAGGGTCAGAATGGGGGACACGAGACCCAGAGGGCCAGTGAGGAGCCAGCTTGTCCCCGGCCTCAGCTCCTTCCCGGAGTTGAAAGAGATCTGAGGTAGGAGCTTAGGCCCACCTGGGGCCCACTGAGCCCCCCGGGCACCACCTGGACCCTCTCCCTGACTCCCAGGCTCAGCCACAGCCTCACAGCCTCCCCCTTCCAGGTGACCCGCCCCTTCCAGCCCACTGGTGTCCATCCTGCTGTGGGTCCACRCCCCTGCCCTGGTCCTGCTGTGGCCAGTACCTGAGTCCACATGGCCCTGGGCTCCACCCTCCCGGCTCCACAGGGATCTCACCGGGGACTCCAGTAGGTCCCATTGGTGAATCCCCTGGAGCTCTGTGCCCAGAGGTGCCACTGCAGTGGGTCTGATGTGGGACCCTGGCTTTGCTAAGTCCCCTGCGTGGTTCTCAGGACACTCAGGCCTGACCTCTCATTGGTTCAGCTGGTAGGTTAGAAGTGACAGTCCCCATGGCCACCTCTCTGGGAGCCTCGTCCACCCACCAGCCAGCCAGCGGGCGCACAGCCGGTGTCTGACTGTTCCCGGCTCCCCAGGGGCAGGGGCACCTCTGTCACAGGCTCACAGGGGCAGACTCAGACCCGGGRTGGGATCAAAACCTGCACACCAGCCAGGAGACACTGGGCAGAGCTCCCTGAGCCCTGGGGACACAGTGAGGGCCAGGCTGCCATGCGTACCCGGGACCAGGGGACGTGTGCCCATCCCCAGCCCCGTACCTGCTGGTTCTGGCTCCGAGTGTCCTCCGTGTGGTACAGCACGGCCCACTTGCCCACRGCCGAGACGTTGACCCACAGGCAGGGGTACGGGGACACCTTCCTGCCCTCCAGCTCCTCCTGGTGCCTGATGTCGGTCTCAATCAGGTGGCAGGTGGACTCCTGGGTCCACACGCTGAGGACACCACACACACACATCTCAGAACAGGGGGACACAGAGAGCACCCCGCTGGACTCCTGGTCCCCGGGGAGCCTTTAGAAAACCCCGGGGCTGGGCCCCTATTCTTCCCATGGCACCCAGCACTGAAGGCAGGAGCTGGGTACAGGGAGGAACTGGCCCCAGAAGAGCAGAGCTGGCCGGGGTCCTAGTTCTCCTCACACTGGGGAGTTTCCAACAGATTCCCACGTCTGCCAGGCCCACTGTGATCCCACAGCTCAGGAGGCTGAGGCAGGAGGATTGCCAGTTCAAAGCAGCCTCAGCAACAGTGAGGCGCTAAGCCACTCAGTGAGACCCTGTCTAATAAAATACACAATAGGGCTGGGGRTGGGGCTCAATGGTCGAGTGTCCTCGAGTTCAACCCCTGTACCCCTCCAAAAAAAGATTCCCACATCCAAGCCACACCCCAGAATAAGCGAATTGGAATTTCTGCCGTGGTTGGACACAGGTTGGTGTATTTTTAAAACTTCCCCAGTGGTTCTGAGCAGCAGCCAGGCCTGAGAATGGCTTATTCAGAGCCTCATGGTCTTACAGAGATCTGAGGAGCTCAGAGAGGTCAAGTGAATTTCCTGAGGCCACACAGGACTTGAGGTCAGATCCAAGTGCCTCCAGAATCTGTCATCTTTCCCCTGAAGAGGGCAGACGTGGGGGGGCTGGGTTTGATGGGGCGATGGAGTTTAATGGGGAGACAACACACTGGAGACACAGCTGTGCTGAGCAGCGCCTTATTCGGAAGACCCCAGCCTGGCACGGCTCCRTTTGTCGAAGGTGAGGACCGTGCGGGCCGGGAGGGGCCGACAGGCTCATCCACACACCTGCGAGTCCCTGGGGACTCAGCCCGTTTGTCCTGCAGGAGACCTGCTGCCAGGCTGGGTGTGGGAGGGGGCTGTCAGGACGGGAACATGCCCAGGAAGGGTCTGGGACTTATCCAAAGCCCAGGTGAGAGTACTGAGTGCATCCATTGTAAACAGCCCAAAGCAGGGGTCTCCCAGCTCTGGGTCAGGTGGCCTGTCAGAGGTGCATGGGACGCTCTCCACGAGGCCTGCAAGGTTCCAGGGGAGCAGATGCGGGCCCAGTGCAGCTTCTGCACATCAGAAAGGCCTAGTGTGGGGGTGAAGGTGGGGGGAGGGTGGGGGGCTGCGGGAGCCCGCCTGACCCAGGTGAAGGGGCTCCGGGTCACCCACTGCAGGGTTTGCTCACATCCTTGGCTGATTCTGAGAGAAGAGCCCCTGGAGCCTGCTCCTATGGGATCCCAGAGCAGGGGCCAGCCTGCCCTCCCGCTAAGCGTGACATGGCCCTGAGCAGCCAGCGGGCTGTGAGGTGGCCGGAGGGGGGGAGAAGCCCTGGAAGACCCCTGGGCCCACACAGCCCCCTGCCCACAGCACAGCTGCAGCGCGCCCACCTCCTCTGGTAGAGGGGCAGCATGGTGGTGCAGAGGATGTAGTAGGTGATCACCGCGCACAACACCATGGCCACGCCCAGGCACAGGGCTCGGGTCTCTCCCCGCTTCTGAGCCATCACCAGCTTCTTCACCATGTCCACTGGGGCCAGCTGTCATTTCTAGGGCCACAGAAGAAACAGAAGTGAGATGGGCTCAGGCGGCAGGTGACCTGCAGAAGGGAGGGCCKCGAGGGGGAGGCCACCAAATATCAACCTCACTCCTTTCCACCCTCTGGAAGCTCCCAGCCAGCTCTGAGAGGTGAGTGTCACCATCTCATCCTGCAAGGGAAAGCCCTGTAGCCCAGAGAGGGAAAGCGATTTGCCCAAGATCACACAGCATGTGGAGGCTCCATAGTGGCTCCCAGGATGTCTGGGTTCCGATCCCTGGCTGACTCTCATAGAGTTAACCTTGGAAATCTCCATGAGTCCCCAAGCAAAACCCTTGTCCCAGGGGAAGCTGGAGCAGGGCTGGGGACCTCCCTTGCTGTGAGGCTCCTACCACAAGCAGCCCCCACCT